ATCCCTGGCGCCCTTCGAACCTCTGGGTGAGGTGTCGGAGAAATTTTTGTCTTTTAAGGTAGCATTCCTGCTTGCCATCACGTCCCTTAAAAGAGTTGGGGACTTACAGGCTCTATCGGTCGCTCCTTCTTGCCTCGAGTTCTCTCCCGGCAAGGTAAAGGCTATTCTCCATCCTAGACCGGGCTATGTCCCTAAAGTGCCCTCAAATGTGGCACGGTCTATTATCCTCCAGGCTTTTCATCCTCCACCCCATGTGTCGGTTGAGCAAGCTAACCTTCATTTACTGTGCCCGGTCCGAGCCCTGGAGGTCTATATGCAGAGATCCTCAGGCTGGAGAAAGTCGGACCAGCTCTTTGTGTGCTTTGGGGCGCCTAAAAAGGGTTCTCCTGCTTCCAAGCTGACTATAAGTAGATGGATTGTGGAAGCTATTTCGGCAGCTTACGAGGTGCGCAACCTGCCTTCACCTCTTCTGCTTAAGGCCCACTCCACGAGAGGAGTGGCTTCCTCTAAAGCCCTTCTTGCGGGTGTTTCCCTTCAGGAGGTCTGTGATGCCGCAGGCTGGGCCTCCCCTCACACGTTTATAAGACATTACAGTTTGGATCTGACCTCTACACCGGGTTCACAGGTTCTCTCGTCTTGAGTGTGCCAGATTGCTTCACACCAGGGCGTACTCTCTTAGTGTGGCGCAGTGGGCATTGCGTTCCCCGTAGTGTCGATTTCGACGCAGCGGAGTTCCCTCGGAAGGGAACGTCTCGGGTTACGTCTGTAACCCTCGTTCCCTGAGAAGGGAACGAACGCTGCGTCCCTCGGCCACACTCTTCGCGCCCCTAGAGACGACTTGCTTCGGACTATTTAAAGCTGCCGCTTCCGGGTTCCGGCGCCCGTTTTATAGTTCCGCTCACCGTCACCTACGATGTCACGGCTGACGTCATCACGCAGCACCAATCAGGATTGGACTAGTTTTATTCAGGCTTCAGACGCGTCATGCTAAGGGCATTCCCCGTAGTGTCGATTTCGCAGCGTTCGTTCCCTTCTCAGGGAACGAGGGTTACAGACGTAACCCGAGACGTTTTGTTTCTACCCCTGCCGTTCCCGCACAAGGTTGCAATTCTTAAATGTGATCTAACAATGGTAAAGGGAAAATATTAACCATATATGCTGTTTATAATGCTTGTAATTGGGATAAAGTAAACATCTGTTGAGTATTTTAACATAAATTGTTTGATTATGTTGAATTAAAAACCCCAAAATGCAGCGGGTCCACCAGACCCACGAACACTGGCTGAATAACAAAAATATGAACACCATACAAAGGTTAAACTTCAGCTTGCATATCATTTTTATGGTATGGTCAATAATAAAAACAACAGGCGGATATTACAATTTTATACTATATTGTTTAAATAAAAAACAAACTAATAACCAAATACTACAAAGGAATTCAGACATCACAAAATTATAATGTAGAATACGAAAAATGCATATTCATCTTGAGATTTGCTAAAAATGACATTTAACCGTGTTATTAATGTATTAGTGTTTTTACAAATAAATTTAAGTGAACCTTAAATTTTGGCAAATGTCATCTAAAAATAAAAATAGGGGAAGTGTTTTCATTTTTATATCAGATGTTACATTTTTAATAAATGAAATAGGCAGATAATTGACATGGTATATCATCATGCATGCATGACTAATATTTATATATCTAGTCTTAAAACTGGATAATATATAACAAAGACTTTCCGTTGTGCAAATCTTAAAACTGAATAATAATATATAAAAATGTTAAAAAATAATATATATATATATATATATATAATTTATTTATTTATAACATAATATAATATATAATAGAGGAAATTAATATGCACAATATCGGGTGATCAGTGTGCATCTGAACAGTGTGCATCTGAAGTGTCTCAGGTGAAGGATATAATCCATTATTTATCGGCTTTAATATATATCGCCAGAATTTTTTTATTGGGCCGATAACGATAACATTAAAAAAGAACATATAGCCTACCGATACCGATATGGTGGGCAATATATCGTGCATCCCTATATATATATATATATATATATATATATATATTGTGTGTGTCCCTAATTTCTATATATATATAACATTTTGTTGCACAAATCTTAAACTTTAATGTCAAATAGCACAGCATTTAATGAGAAAAGTATCAATGAATCTATCCAGCCCTTCAAATATAATCTGAAAAGTAACACATTTAGCTTTGGCAGCACCTTGCCATTACTACCCCATCATGAGCACATTTCTGAGGGAAAAAAGCAGTTGCTCTAGGAGAGAGAATAATCAAACAAACAAAACAGATTGTGCTATTCAGAAAACATCTATTTAGACCTGCAGGAGTAATAACTGTTGCTGTAGGAAATAAGATGTTCTTTACTATTAGACAATGATCAATTATTTAATATTTACAGAAGAAAAGCCCAACCAAATAATCTCAATGCCATAAATAGATAGATAGATAGATAGATAGATAGATAGATAGATAGATAGATAGATAGATAGATAGATAGATAGATAGATAGATAGATAGATAGATAGATAGATAGATAGATAGATAGATAGATAGACAACTATACACCTACTCTTGTGTTGTGTTGGCGTGTCTGCGGGGTGAATGATGGTGTTGTGATATGTTTTGTTGTTTGCATGGCTTGTCTAGCACAGTTGTTTTAATGCAACTAATGAAAGCGCTCATCATGATAATTGCTGTGGCGTTTGCTGCTGTATGTTTGCGAGTCTGAGGACTCAAGCACCTCGTGTCTCTCTGTGCCACTTATTGTCTAGTCACAACACTTTAGTAAACTGCAGGAAAGGAAAGCACACATGTTGCGGTAATTTACAGAGCATGCAGTGCTACAGAAGTTAAAGGGATAGTTCACCCAAAAATGAAAATACTGTCATCACAAAAGAAGATATTTAAAAGATTTTGGTGACCATACAGTTGACGGCACCCATTTGACGTCCATAGTAGGAAAAAAAAATACAGTGGAAGTCAATGGCTACCGTCAACTGTCTGGTTACCTTCATTCTTTGAATTCAAATATCTTCTTTTTTCGTTCTACAGAAGAAAGAAACTCATATGGGTTTGGAACAACATGAGGGTGAGTATATGTATGAATAATGACATAATTTTAATTTTTTGGTGAACTAGTCAGCATTAAATTAGTATTACCTGTTTCTAGTCTTATCGTGAATGATTCAAGTTATTCCAAATGAAAAAAAGTGCTTGTTACTGCGGTTTTCTTCAAAACACAATAAACAACACCCTTTTTCGTCTGACGTCATCAAGCCATCTTATTTTTTCAATTACTCTCCTCCAACCACCCGTCATACAGAGACCTCTTTTCATTATACAATAAATTCCCAATGGATAAAATCAAGTCTCATCCACATTTTCCCTCATTGAATATCCAGATCCACTCTGAAATATATCCCATTACAAGTAAAATGGCTTACACACAACTTCAAACTCATGTATTGATTCACCAGCAGCCAAATGGAAATAAGACACGACCTGAACGTCACGACAGCAGTGAGTTTAGGGCTGATGCAGTATTTAATTTACACAGAACCAAAGCCTAAAACCTAAGCTTTCCTAAAACGTTACTACTATTTGTTTTGCTGACTTACAACTGAGAACTGACATTTCCTTAAGGACATGCAAATCTAATTATATGTAGGATGATGTCTGGTCAAATAGGCCATCAGGTAAAATATGCCAGTTAGACAATAATACTTGACATGCATGTACTGGTTTGATTGGTCTGAGTTTGTTAGGGTGTGCAGTATTGAAGGGAAAATATAAGATGAATAACCTAAACTGATAATAGCAACTTTTCACATTACATAGCATTCCTTTCTTTGTTCACAATGATGGTTTTGAAACACTGGCGCATTTTAATATAACTGAATATAGTGATGAAGGAGACCGAGGGAGACTTCTGACATTTAAATAGCTCTTGGGTTTAAACAGTTGTTGGTTTTTGTTACATATTTTTAACATAAAAAGATAGAAGGGACCCGACTTAACACAAAAATGCGCAGTCTGGAAAATCTGCAGAGACATTTTAAAGCTGCCTCAGACCAAAAAGTGACCCTTTTTACTTGACTTCACCCTACGTGTCAGACTCTAACACTAAATATCTGCATTCTTAATAGCAGAAACATGGAGAAAAAAAAATTAAAAGTAATTTGCATTCAAATTAATTTCAACTTTCTTTTTCAGTAGGCTACTTGTATCAGTTAAAAAAATTGCAACGCAGAGAGTTAGTAAAAAGGCTGCGAAACATGCATTTAAGATCATTCGTGGACAACACATGCAATCATAACTTAATTAATGGACAGGAAGGCATTAATACATGAATGCATAATATATCCGGATGCTGAATAATACAGCACACAAGGAAGGTTGAAGTATACCTGGTGATGGCAAGCCACTTTAATATTTAATTCCTTTTTAATCAACTGATAAGATTGAACTATAAAATAGTTATTCTGACTAATCCATTACATATAACAAGTAAACAATAAAATGTGCCGAGTAAAATCTATACCAGCAACAAATGGAATAGAATCGGAAGTGAATAGTTGACATCTGAACCACAGACACCTATAATTCATCGCAAAATAAATAAATTTGTTACTAGACAAAAAACAAATGAAATAGTGATTGTCTAGTTAAAAAGTTACTATGAAACTTGAAAAGATACTGGATTAGCCTCCTTAAAATAGTTGTAGGCAACCATAATAGATACCGGTATAGCCAGAAAATGTTAAAACAGCTTGCCATAATCTGATCGTTTTTTGTGTCAATTGTCGTATAAAAGTAACATTAGTAGAAACTACTGACATCACCAACCAAATAAACTACTACAAAGTCTACCAATAAATCTCTCCAACTGATCACATTTGACACGTGCTGCAGAAACATCACTCACACAAGCACGAGGAGAAAACTTACCTAAGAGCAGGGCGCGAGCGCTGGCTGACATCACGTCTCCGGACTGAAAATCCTACAGAAACGTCTCCTTTGCTCCTCAAAACGAGCACATTGAGTCATTGAAATGGTCTCTCAGTTTTGTTCTGAACATGAGCGGAGCGATATCACCGGCTGAGACCATCAAAAGCATCTCTGTGATCTCCAGACGTCCCGAAGCTCCTTCACAAGCGCCCGTTTCCTCCGAAGAGAAGTTCTCATTGACTTCAACTAGGATGCGTATCTACGATCTCTTTCCTCTCCTCCGCCTCTTGCTCTCTGTAGGAAGGAACCACGGTCTGGTAAAGGTGTGTGAGGGGATGTGGAGACCTCTGCAGTTAAAGCAGAACACTTTCCTTTGCAGATGTCCTTATGGGACACTTGCAGATAGATGGCGACTGGATAAGGGTCTTTCTACTGCTGCAATGAAATGATTAGCATACTTTATTATAACCCAACTTTAACGAACACTGCGCTTAGCAGATCAGTAGTTCATGCGTATTTAAATGAATATATAAACTCAATTTAATGACATTTTGAATTGACAAATAATTTAAAGTCCCCCTGTGGTGAAAATCAAGCTTTTAATGTTGTTTATGTCTTTGTGGTGCTGAGTATTTTTCCTTTAAAACTGCAGTGAAACAAAGACAAAATCGCGGCTGTGAGTGAGTAGATGCGGGGCTAATTTGCATATTCATAGAACCGCATGAAGCAAGGGTGTACTAGTAGAGTTACATGCAAGCTATTTTAAGGCATTGAAGAAGTTTTAAAGGAAAAAAAACGTTTAAATTTGTAATTTATGAGATCAAAGATGAGTTTTAAGGGATACAATTATTGACTAGGGGGACTTTAAGGGTTATAGCTGCTACAGTAAGTTATTGTTGTAATGTAAAGAAAAGATATTATAGACTAGTGTAACCAATTAAAAATAAAGAGAGAAATATAATTTCAATAGAAAGAGGTTTCAGGAAAGTCTGTAAATGACAAATAGACAAATATGCCACTTCACCCGAAAATATAAATTCTGTCATTATTTATACTCATCCTCATGTCATGCCGTTCCGCATCTTTTTTTTTTTCCGTGGAAAACAAAAGATAATGAAGAATCTTCTTTGCATAACTTTTTCTTTTTTTATCCATAAACTTTTTACCCATATCTGCCCAAAACTAGGCTACATAAACACCACAAGCGTAGTCTATTAGGCTACTATATATTCTACATCTAAAGCAATTTGATAGTTTTGTGTGAAGAAGAAAGTAAAAAATGTAGATGTTATTTACTGATAATCTTGTTTGACATTGCTGTATTCACGTAGGCCTACGTCGAGATTACAAGATGACAACACGTGACGTTCTACTCAGAGCTGTTCACATTCTCGGACTGGGAATTATGTCTATCAACACTATCAACACCTAAATGAATCTATAGCGGTCAGGTGGTACAGCGGTCAAGATGTACAGGTAGGAGCTCTCAGAAAATTTCCAGCTTGCAAGCTGTAATTATGAGCTCTACGAGGACGTGAACGCTTTTTACAAGTTGAAATCTCATAATTACAACATGGTATGAATGCACCTTTGGAATTGTGTTTCTATGGTAACATTATCAACGCCAATATGAATCTGCAGTAGTCAGGTGGTTATAAAGTCGGAGCTCTCAGAAAATTCCCAGTTTACAAGTTGTAACGGTTTGCATGGATCGAATATGGTGTACAAGAAGATGTGGTGTGGTGGAAATTCACCAATAAAATTAAAGTCAGGCCACTTAATAGTAAAATTTTTATTAAATGTATTTGTCTGATATTGCGATTCAGATGTCTCTCTTACAACCGAAACATATCTCAGAGAGCTACAAAATTACCTCTAAGCAATATATATATATATATATTCAGTAAAATCATACATATTCATTTATCAATGAACACAGATATTCAAAGTTGACTTGATAAGCAAATGAACAGATTATCACAAGGTCTCCTACTTTCTATTGTCACATACACTTTCCGGTTCATCTTCATCCACATTGGTCTTCCTCAACATTCCATTATATGTCTACCTGACGACATGCATAAATATTTTTTTAATTGGAAACATTTTATCTGACTCCCTAGACTCTTCCCAGGCCTACTGACGAAAGAAGCATAATTCACAAGTTGTTTCTCGCAGCATTTGCAGATTAAAACTTGAAAACACTATAGAGAGAGTCAAAAAAGAGATAAAAGGGGCAATATATCTGTCTTCTACCAAGACTGTGTTGGAAGGAAGGGGCCTGTGCTTTGTAGTTATCTGAGGCCTTGCATTTGAGTGCCTCAGATAACTTACAACATCTCCATAAGAGTCAAAATCTTACCCTTACACATGCCATAACCTCCGTTGGGCAGCGACCTGCTGCTTAAAAACCTTCAGTTCGTCCCCTTACATTTGTAATGATTCCACTGGAGGCGAGCTTGACGAACCCAAGAGCAGTATTGAGCATAAATGTGTACAAAATAAACAAAGACTTGACTAAGCATAACTTGACAAACTAACACTCGCCAAACAGTGGTTACACAAACAATACAAGACACAAGGCAGGATAACATAACTGTGAAAACCACAAAAATAAGACATGAAACAAAAACAAAACGAGACAACATTCTTAAACAGTTAAAATTCTCTAGAAGCAATTACTTTGTCCTCCTTTTCCAATTCCTCTCAAAATCATCATATATTGAGTAACAATAAAGGTAGAGTGTCTGTTTTAGTACATACAATAAAAATTATTGATTTACACACACATACAGTATGTATATATGTCAAAACATATATCTTTTCATGACTTAAAAGTTATGCAAGGAAACCTATGTAACTCATTTTAACATTTTCTCATTCAACATATTTCTCTTACACTGGTCATGATTCATTTTCTTTGGTGAGAAAAAGATGGGTAAATATTATTTGAATGAAATCTAGAATGTTCCATGAAAAAATAGCAGCGTACAAGTTTGGAATAACATGAAGGATGGAATAACAGAATTAAAATTGTATTCATTAATGACATTCACCTGTCAGTAAAAAGTTGAGAAAGGTGGATTACCGGTGATTACTTGTTGTTACATTACAATAAATAAGATGTCACAATGGAACATTTTCCATTCAACGGCATGTTATAAGATTGAAACAGCAAAAATGTAAAAGTTAGAAAAAAACATGGCATGTCTTAAAATCAGTTATTTTACATAACTTCATACGTTTAAAAATGTATATATATATATATATATATATATATATATCACTCATGTGATCATCTGATGGCTAACCCTGACCCTACATGTCAATCAAACTGCAAATAACCTCTTTCCCTTTCAAGTACACACGTCCTCGCTGAAGCTTTCTGACTACATCTGCAGTGATGGAACCAACAAATGGTTTTTCATTATAATGCATTATGGGATTATTTTTAGTAGCATGGAAAACTTCAAAGACCAACAGTGGCCTGTTTTTTCTCTGATTATTCATGAAGGTCTCCTGAAAAGGAGCAGTGAAGGAGGACAGGACTTATTGCCATGACCTGATTACAGTTTGCTGCAGATGCCGATTTTACAGAATTTTCATATTTTGGCACAGGCGGATGCCGTATCTTAAAGCACCCGATGGCTTGAAAATCAAGCCTGAGAGCTTCAAGGCTTGTTTGGTTACTTGCGGTGTAGCCAACCACAAAAAGTACAATGTATTTTATTCCGCTATCAATCGGCTATTTTGAGTTCTAAAGATTAAGGACAAAGTTCTTTGCCATGATTATTAATTCATCACGGCCTCAGTTACAAGGCACTCAAGTTTAGCAACTAAATTTAGGTCAGACTGAAAGGAAATGTCTTAAAACAAAACGGCCACGCGTCCCTACAAGAAATCTGAAGCTTCTTTAGAACATACCGAGGTCATTGCATTATTCAGAAAGGCCTTAAAACTTTAAAACAATCCATTAATCCATTCCTTCATTCATTTCCAAGACTCAAAAAATGTCAAACGCAAAATGGTGATGCTGCGTTGAACGGCCAATGAGACTTCAGCTGCAGATTGAGATGCGAATTAGCTTTCTTTGTGAATTGTTACCCAGTGGTCTTCTGACAGACACATTAAAGGGAAGGATAGGCAACAACTCTCTACCCAAACCTCCTCTGGTGGTTTTAGTCTTTCAGACTGAGAAGTTAAGACCGCTCATCGCCAGGGAGAGCGTTGTAAATCTGCGAGCTCTACCGCTGCAGAATACACATAATTCAGAGGCAAGTGTTCATTCATCAAACGGCTCAATTAATAACCTTCCCTGAGAGCATAGCAGGGATTAATCAAGATCCTTCTTCGGTATGACATTGGAGGAATTTGAAAGATATCCTAACCTGAAAGTGGGAATATGATTTTTTTTTTTCGCGGATTTTCCCATGTACTCAATCTTTCTGGCATGTGGTCTTGCTAGAATTCGTGGTGATGAAAAACTGGAAGTCCACACCACAGTCTCGAGCTCTGATGGTTCTGGGCCATCTTTGTGTTTTCTCTTAATTCAATCTGAAAGCACAATCAGGACACAGCCATGAAGTGGCTTCATGGATGATCAGAGTAAATCAAACCTTTTATGGACCACTTCTGAAACGGAATGATTCTTAGAAGTCTGCTTGGGGACACTGCAACCTTAATATCCCCAGAAACACCAAGTAAATGAAAGGAAAGGAAAGCCAAGGCCCAGCAATTCAATTCCCTTCAAAGATAAGGCCTATTTTCTCAAAGGCCATTTTCAAGGCCTCGGAGGAAGAACATGAAAAATTTGTGTCCTGCTCCAAAAAAGCTTCTTTAGTGTCTAGAGAGGCCTAATAAAAAAAACAGAAACAGATAAATATCAGTCAGTTTTCCATGTGCAAGACAAGAAACAATATCAGAGAGTGAACAGAACCCATTCGAAACATATCAGTACATTATTGTACACATACACTGTTGTGGTCCGAGCTTTAATTAAAGTGATTGCTTTCAGGGATATCTGAAGTTTTTTTCTGTACCTGACGGTGCAGTTAATCAGAAAAATGTACTGTTTGTGCCAAACCTCAGCTCATCAAATTGAGTGGAAACAGACGCTTAACATAAGCGTATCAAGAAAGTCAATCATTTCATTTAGAAATAAGGGTAGCCCAAACACAATAGAATGGAAACGAAGCA